AAAATGGTAGCGATTGGAATTGATTTGGGAACTACTTATTCCTGCGTTGGAGTTTTTCAACACGGTAAAGTGGAAATAATTGCGAACGACCAAGGCAATCGCACAACACCAAGTTATGTGGCGTTCACAGATTCAGAGCGGCTCATTGGTGATGCCGCAAAAAATCAAGTTGCCATGAATCCAAAGAACACGGTCTTCGACGCAAAGCGATTGATTGGACGGAAGTATGACGACGAAAAAATTCAAGCGGACATGAAGCATTGGCCTTTTACAGTGGTCAACGACTGCGGAAAGCCAAAGATCAGCGTGGAATTCAAAGGTGAACAGAAACGCTTTGCTCCCGAAGAAATTAGTTCGATGGTGCTGACTAAAATGAAAGAGACAGCTGAGGCATATTTGGGTACGTCGGTGCGAGATGCAGTTATTACGGTACCAGCGTACTTCAATGATTCACAACGTCAGGCCACAAAAGATGCAGGAGCCATAGCAGGACTTAATGTTCTACGTATTATAAACGAACCAACTGCAGCAGCTTTAGCCTATGGTTTGGACAAGAATCTCAAAGGTGAACGGAACGTGCTAATCTTCGATTTGGGCGGTGGTACCTTTGATGTTTCCATCTTGACAATTGATGAAGGTTCATTGTTTGAAGTTCGTGCAACTGCCGGCGATACTCATTTAGGTGGAGAGGACTTTGACAACCGTCTCGTTAACCACTTTGCGGAAGAATTCAAACGCAAATATAAAAAGGATTTGCGGACGAATCCCAGAGCGTTGCGTCGTCTAAGAACAGCGGCAGAGCGGGCGAAACGAACACTGTCATCCAGCACGGAGGCGACTATTGAGATTGACGCTTTGTATGAAGGTGTAGATTTCTATACAAAAATTAGTCGAGCTCGCTTCGAAGAAATGTGTGGTGATTTGTTCCGCAGTACATTAGATCCCGTAGAGAAGGCTCTTAATGATGCGAAAATGGATAAGAGTCAGATTCACGACATTGTACTCGTTGGTGGTTCAACACGCATACCAAAGGTCCAAAGTTTACTTCAATCATTCTTTGGAGGTAAGAGTTTGAACCTCTCTATCAACCCAGACGAGGCTGTGGCTTATGGTGCAGCGATACAGGCAGCCATTTTGAGTGGTGATAAGAGCAGCCAAATTCAAGATGTGCTTTTGGTGGACGTGGCACCATTGTCACTTGGAATTGAAACTGCTGGCGGAGTGATGACAAAACTTATAGAACGAAACAGTCGCATTCCATGCAAACAGTCAAAAACCTTTACAACTTATGCAGATAACCAACCCGCAGTCACCATCCAAGTGTTTGAGGGCGAACGTGCCATGACCAAAGATAATAATTTGTTGGGCACTTTCAACTTAACTGGAATTCCACCAGCGCCGCGTGGTGTTCCCAAGGTAGATGTTACATTTGATTTGGACGCCAATGGCATTTTAAATGTGACTGCAAAGGAGATGAGCACTGGAAATGCGAAGAATATAGTCATAAAGAACGACAAAGGCCGTCTATCTCAAGCAGACATCGATCGTATGGTTAATGAAGCTGAAAAATATGCGGAGGAAGACGAGAAGCAGCGCCAACGTGTTGCTGCTCGCAATCAACTTGAGAGTTATGTGTTTAATGTCAAGCAAGCAGCAGATGAAGCCGGTAGTAAAATAAGTCAATCGGATAAAGATCGTGTCCTCGAAAAGTGTAGCGAGACAATTAAATGGCTGGATGCCAATACCACTGCCGAAAAGGAGGAGTTCGAGTACAAATTGGAAGAGTTGACGAAGATCTGTAGTCCTATCATGGCAAAAATGCACCAGCAGGCAGGCGCTGGCCCACAGCCTAGTAATTGCGGCCAGCAATCTGGTAATTTTGCTGGAGGCCAATATGGTGGACCAACTGTGGAGGAAGTAGACTAAATATGAAATATTTGTGTTAACAGTATTAATTGTTCAACTTCGTCAAAGAATTGATACTCATACTTTTTAGAATAAGTTGCTTATGTTTTTAAAACTTTAGATATTAAATTAGTTTCATGGAAGTATTGAATAGTTTTGTTAAAGACTGAGCTTTATCCATGAGTAATATGAATTCTAATGCATTTAATTTAACTATTTATACCTATAATAAAGCCGGCTGCTTTCAAAATGTTTTAAACAAAAAAAAAAATGTTTTTTATTCGTAAATTTTTTTCTTTCTACCAGCAAGGCCCATGATGCAATACTACTTTATGAGCAAGGATTTCTATAGTGAATATCGATGACTGAGGGAGGGGTAGATCGATTCATGATCGTGGATCGACCTACATATCTCGGAAGCCAGCTCGAAAACGCCCTATCAGAAAAATTTTCAACAACGCTCCATCTCAGAAATTTTGAAAGAACGTCCTATTTTCGTTTGAGATAGGGCACCTCTGAACCGAATTCTGAGATAGGTTTATTATTCAACCAAATTCTGATAGGTGTTTTTCAATAAAAATCTGAAATAGGGCGTTTTTCAATCAAATTCTGAAGTAGGGCTTTCCTGAAAAGTTTTGGGATAGGGCGCTTTTGAACTGGCTGCCGAGATATTTCGATCTTCCACTCAGCCATCGATATCGTCACCTGAAATGCAAAAGG